TAGCCTAGGTATTGTCAGTTCCTAGTGACCAAAGAATGAGAAAAACACCACTTTATAGTAAGTACAGAATTGCCTCTTCTAATAGAGGAGGAACCGAGACACAGTGATTTTATGTTTTTTCCCCCAAAAAAACTGGCAGCTGATTTTTTGGGTGCCCAACTTGAGGTACTTGTAATTTGATTTTCAGAGGTTCACTTGCTTTAACTGGAACTATGGGTACTCTGTACTTCAGAAAAATCTGGCCCTTGCTCTTATACTAGCTATCCAAAAAATCAGAGGCAACTGTAAGCACCAGCCAAATCTTCATTTTTTCCCCAGCAACACTTGTAAAGGAAGCTTTCTGAATGCTAGAGAACAAAGGAGTAGGAAGTGACTGAGTTTACGCTGTTTTCATTGTAAATAAAAGTAGTTTCAAAACAAAGCAAAAACCAAAAGTGGCAAAAACATTGCTACAATTACACAAGACCGGTATCTACTTAACAACCAGGACCAATCAGAAGGACCTTTCTTGACCTGTACCCACTAGACAGTAAGCTCTTCTGCACAGGGAACAATCCCTGCACAGGGAATCCTTGTTTCTGAAGCACTGCCACACCTTTGGGCACTACTACATCATTAGTAAGAATAGTAACACTGAAGCAATTTTTTCCTTACCTACACAATGACTTTGGGTGAGGTGTCCTCCAGTCAGGTATCAATACGCTGTTGCTTAACTTAAATCCTGGCTCCAAGAGATTCTGGCAAAGGGTCCACCCCCATCACTGCTGCTTCCCATGACACTTGTCTTGTGGAGCACTTGCTTAAATTAGGGAAGTTCCTCTTGGAAAAAAGAATCAAACAAAGCCACAGGAGAGGGCAAGAAAGGAAAAGAGAGTACCTTTTCCTCACATTTATTCTTCCTTTCCTCTTCCTACCCTAGCTCTTTCCCCATGTTCTTTCCCTTATTCTCTCTGTTCACTCTCAGGTCTTTACCTGCTCATCTCAGAAAAAGGCTCCCTTTTGTTTCCCCTATGTCAGTTCCATGATCCCTTCCAGAACAGGGAGGTGAGGAGAAACAACACATGCTGTTTGAGATAGGTAATAGCTCCTGTAAGGTGGTGCCAGTGCATCTGAGCATATTTCCAATTAGGATTATCATTCACTGCAATGCCCAGACACACAGACTGCATTTACACTAGCATTTTTTTCTCTAAAAATATCCTACTGTTCCTATCCCTCATGGGAGCACCAGTATAGAGCAGCTGCCTATCATTTAATTGTAGCAGTGTAGGTTCAGGCACATCAGTGGCTCATCAGAGCCTTGTCTACAGTAGAGGTTGCTGCCTTAGTAGAACTGCAATGATGGGGAAAGGTAGGGGACAAATAATAAAATAACAGGCTTAATGGCATGCACACTGATGCAATGTATAAACAACACTTTATTGTGTGAGTTCCAACTTTGTGCTCATATATGCTCATCCTGTACAGGACACAAAAATACAGATAGTCCTTGTTCCAGCCAACAGGATGAAATGGGAAAGATGGGACACACAGGGTTGTCACCAGGAGAGGATACCAGAGAAGGATGTATAAAGTATCACCACAGCCCTTCTTTGTGGGTATTATCAAGGGGGTATGCATTTATATGAGGGGTCTGAATGAAAAGAGGGTGAAAGCTTGGAGACAGGTCTGAAGCTTCTTCTCGTAAATAATTCCTTAGGCATCTCCTGTTCCACGTCTGATGGCCTACAGCATAGATCTGAAGGAACACGGCTACAGCTGCTCAGCCAGTGGGGCATTTACACATTTCGTTTTCTGTTGCTGAGGCCTTAAAAGACATCCTGTTTTCTAAACAGAGAAGACTGCAGAGTCCACTTCTGGCTGGTGACATAGCTTGTGAATAGCCTTGAGTGAGGCAGTCTGCTGATCAAGTGATAATGCCAAGCATGCCAGGTGCATGGAAGAACATTTATCCTTCCTCTCTGGGTTGAAAAAGCCATCTATGCAAGTCCTCTTCTGTACAGAAGAATCTAGGAGGAAGCAGTCTTGGCAATAAGGAAATAGAAGTCTTCTTTGACGACCTGGCAGGCCTGAATGTGCCCTGATTGCCAGACTGTAACTGCTCTTGCCAGCAGGACAAAGGGAAGGGAAGAAGGGACTAAAGGAGCTTTATAATGAATGTGGCTTGGGTATGGAAGAAAATAGTACAATTACTGGAAAAGCTTATAAGGGTGGAGGAGCAACAGAACTCACCATGGCTGGGCTGCTGAGGGAGTATTTAGCACATTCCCCTCACGGATTTCTGAAGGAGGGAAGGCAAGAGCCAAGAAGCTGGTGGTAAAACTGGTGCGGGAACACTTTGGAACCGCTGCTCTTGAGGTTCCTCTTGCTATGGTGGAGCATAAAGAAGAAACTAACTGAAGCTCAGACATCCTGGAATTTTCAGTAAAGCATGTGTAGTGACAGGCATTGAGTCTCATCGAATAAACCCTGGTCTGGGTCCTGGAAGATGACTGAAGGAAAATTGAGTCCACTGCTCACTTCAGACCCCATGTCAACCAACATTCCTGTCTATGCCCTGAGTGGGGATGGGAATAGAGGTGGCAGATAAAGTGCCTAATAGCAGGTGCAACAAAACATCCTACCCTATGCCTGGTCACATCGTCAATACTTTTCTGTCCTTTGCAAAGGCTGGACTGGAGAAGCCTTCAGCAGAAACAATTTGGCTATGTCTACACTGCAGGCTTCTTGCGCAAGAACAACTGTTCTTGCGCAAAAACGTATAGAGCGTCTACACTGCATGTGTGTTCTTGCGCAAGTAAATTTGCAGTAAAGCGTCAGAACTGAGGGCTTCTTCTGCAAGAGTTATTCCTCTCCTCCCTATTGCGCAATAAGGCAGTGCGGAGGGGCAACAGGGGTTTCTTGTGCAAGAAACACCTATGGCTAAAATGGCCAAAAGCCACATGGCAGTGTGTACGCACTTTTGTGCAAGACCTTTTGCACAAGAACTCTTGCGCAAACCAGTTCTTGCACAAGAAGCCTGCAGTGTAGACGTAGCCTTTAGGTTTTGACATCTGAATATTCATTTAAAAAAAAACAGGTTTAATTTTCACACTGTGTTAAGCTAGTGCTGAGAAAGCAAATCGGACATGGTGCAGCCTTGCTAGGGGGAACACAGTGCAAATTCATTGATGATGTTTTGCTACATCTGTATTATAAGGACACCTCCATTTATTTCATGTACCTCAGGCAATCCTGAGGAGGGTTTCATTCTGGGCCTTTGTGAATGCTGGCCAGTCTTAGATTACGAGGGGTGGGGCTGGGATAGTCCCTGAAAGAGGCTGATTTGAAGTTGAGGTCAGGATTAATGTTCACGTCTCCAGACAGGTTGGATATGAAATTGCTTTCTGAAGCCTTGTCATACTATCAATAAAATACATCACAGACTTCTTGGCAACAACTAAAATAACAGATCTGCCCACATAATGTTCACAACCTTTAATTCTAGGTAGGCAGATGTAAACCATCACCATTACCAAAAGAATCATGTTTGCAACTGAAGGTGAATAAAATGCTTGTGTTGCTCAGATAACTAACAGATCCTGTTAATCATGATTTCTCAGGTGCAAAACATTTAATCCTACCACTGATAATTACCTGCCAGTGATACGCTCAAAAATCATTAAGTTTCCTACACTGTCCATAATCTACACGATACTACTCTGTGACTGTCTGTTTTGCACACTACTGTGCATGCTGCTGGCTCTAAACAAATAATAACTGATCATAATACTAAGTATACTGTCAAGACTGAGTGATAACAGACTGCAAAGATAAGGGAAAAGCTATTTCTAAAATCCACTTTTCTAAGAAGTGGGAGAGGCACCATGGTTTAGTGTACTGAGCATTGGGGCTAAGTGCGAGGAATGTCTCTGATATCCACATCTTTTGTGGCCTTACTGTAGCTCCCTGCTTCAGTTTCCCCATCTTTAAAATGGGAATAAGAAGTTCCTTTTCATACTCCTGGCAATGATATCAGGATTAGCTAAATCAGAATGCTTCTTAGGAAATACAAAATATGAAGTATTATAATATGTATTTTCATATGGCCACACTTCAGAGGAATTTAGAACTGGAGCGTTTCAGTACCACCCTACCATACCAACTATGACAGGAAAGAAAAGGCAGCAGATATTAGTGTAAGCTTAAAGCTAACTAGCAAATTACTAATTTCTGCATTATGTAGGATTCTGAGCAGCTTTCTATTTAGTAACTGTCAATTCCCTCATTACCCACTGGACAGCAATGACTCCTGTTTACTTAATGTCTGTGCAGCAGCAGCATTGCTAATGTCAGCACAGCTCTTGGAATGGGACTTGCCTATTAACTGATGTTGCTGCAGAGCCAATAGGGGAAGCATACCAAAAAGGATCAGTGGGAAGGAAACAATCTACCAGAGAACATCAGCTAGAGAACATAAAAATCTGTAAGCTAGGATCATTTTTCTGCCAAGTCATTGGGGAAATTAAGGTACGCTTTTATAGCCTGGAGGGTTTTTTCCAACAAAACTTTTAACTTTGATAGAAATTAGACTTCATTAAATTGATGCATCTCTCCAGAGCCTAGAGACAGACACCTAGAGTGTGTCTAAACTACACCCCTCTGCCGACAGAGGTATGTAGATTAGGCACATCGCTATTGCAAATGAAGTGGGGATTTAAATATCCCATGCTTCATTTGAATAGAAATGGCCACCACTTTTTGCCGACGTGGCACGTTGCCAGCAAAAAGCAGCAGTCTAGACGGGGATCGGTCGACAAGGAAAGCCTTTTCTGACCAATCCCTTATGCCTCATGCAACAAGGTTTACCGAATCGGTTAGAAAAGGCTTTCCTTGTCGACCGATCCCCGTCTAGACTGCTGCTTTTTGCTGGCAACGTGCCACGTCGGCAAAAAGTGGTGGCCATTTCTATTCAAATGAAGCGCAGGATATTTAAATCCCCACTTCATTTGCAATAGCCATGTGCCTAATCTACATCACTCTGTCTGCAGAGGGGTGTAGTTTAAACACACCCCAATAGAAAGGGACAGTGGCAAGTTCACAGGGTGGCACAAATACAGCAAGGTCTTAACTCCTGGGTGCTGCAGTGTTTTTCAAAACAAGAACACAACTGAATTCCAACCTCAGGCCCTGCCAGTAACAGGCAGAGGAGAGATCAAGTCAGCTCTCAGCCTTTGAACATTCTGCAACCCCCATTGGCACAGTTCTCCAAACAGCACTTTGAAGATAACACTGGAAGAATCATAGGGACATAGGAATTGCTATGTCAGATAGGACCAGTAGTCTGTCTCTGTCACTGTACCTGCAGAGAGAGGCGCAAGAAACCCCTCTGTAGTGACTGGCTTATGCCTTAAAGCAAGAAGGTTTATATTACTAGTTCATTTTCTCTCATTATTTCTATAAGTATTTGATCTTTTAAAAACCCTATTAAACAAATGATCCAATGATACCTTGTGGCAAAGAGTTACACAGATTGTGGGTTGTTACAAAAAATTATTTCCTTTGATCAGCTTTACATTTGTTTCATGGGCTGTGTTTCTGCTTTGCCACACCTGCTAACTGATCCTTGCTGCTTAACTGGCTTCAGAACCCAACACAGACATTTGAAGATAAAGTCTATTTTATCATAGGGCCTGCTGAGAAGAGTACACAAGAATTCTCCTCCAAATCTACTGACAAATGTAAGAACTGAGGATCAACTCCAGGGCTCAGGGGAAGTATCCTTGAGGAACAAAATGTTAGTGAAAACAGACACTAAAGGAGAGTGAAGGAAACAGCTTCAAGAATCTCAAAGCAGCATATGCAGCTGTGGCTGCAGTGAGATTCTCAGGCCATGCCAGGGTCAGGGTATTTTCTTTTCCTTTGCCCAGAGCATAATATGTACAATGCAAAGCTTCTCAGTGTTCCAGTGCCATCAGCAGTGCAGGTCTGTCTGGCTACTAAAACACACGCGCTATTTACCGCCATGCCAGGAGCTCATCTGCATAGTGGCCAAACATTGCTCCCACTGAATCCAGTGGGAGTTTGGCCACTGATTTCAACAGAAGTAGGGTTTGGCCCAATGTATTCATATGCATTAGCAGAACTGGATAGCTACTGCATGTCCAGTATCAGCACTCTTAACTGACACAAGTCCTATAACAACTGAACTCACAAGACATGCTCTGCTACACAGTCACACTATCATTTGAAAGAGATGGAATTCTGAAATAAGGTGATATGACAAAAGGAGATTTCAGGTGTAACAAATTCACTTTCTTTCATCCCCATTCTACATCCATGTTCTAATCAGTCCATATTTAAATATTACAAAAGCAAAAAGGCTTTAACAATCAAATGGCCAGTGTTCTACTCTGGGCTACTAACATACAAAAGAATGAGGAGATGTGATAACAGAAGAGACAAGAGAGAAAGCTTCTCCCAATGGAGAGTGAGATGCAGCATGTAGAATTTGGCCAGACACACAAATGATATAAACTATGGAAACCTTCTCCCTGGTATTTTAAAATACAAACACAGCAGAATGTCATCATAATAGGCAAAGTCTGTGTCAAAAAATTCTAAGCACACAGCATTTTCTCCAGTTCTGACACCTTTTTAATAGAAATCACTTGTTTAGGAAACAAATAGCACTTTTGTAATTTTTACAATGTTTCTTACCTTGATCTTATTTTAAGTAACACTAGGAAGACCTCAATATCTTTTATTTTCCTTTTTAATTTTAAAAAAGTTGTTTTTCCCCCAGATACAAAGATTTTGCCCTTGCATAAAAAAACAGTGCCCAAAACGATGACACAAGGACTCACAAAGACTCACTGTATCTCACTGACACTATTACTTCTAATCTATACCATGCAAGGTCCCATCTACCTCTTTAATTAGACTGTCAGCCTGAATAACAGCTTTTCTATTCCTTATTTATTTTTGCTACCAAAAGAAAGAGAGGAAATGAAATAAAAGGACATTTCTCTGTTCAGTTCACACATGTGGGTCATGTGCTGCTTTGTTCAGGATATTTTTATTATTTTATAAATATAGAAAAGGGATGGAACCTCGTTTTCAAGTAAAATCACTGATGCACATTTTCCCTTGAGATACCCCCTTCAATGTTTCAACTCAACCATTTTGGTCCCCTCTTCTTCCACTCCCAACAAAGGCCTCCTGGATCAACTTAAAGATCCAAACAAATACAATTCTCCAATGCATTTCATTTGACTAGTATGAAGAAACAAGGTTAACCCAAATGTTGCCAGGACAGAAAATCCCCAACCTGCACATGTGCTCTTTATTCAGTGAAAAATCCATCTCCATTTCATTTTGTACATCTCCTGTCTAAATAACAGTAAATACTGCTTGTTTGATAGACTTGTCCCCGCTGGGCACTGGGATTTGTTAATTTATATTTCTGGTTTTTGGTTTAATAGTACGGAGAGTTTAGAAACAGGAAAAGCCCACAGGCTCTTTGGACTTATTTTTTTCCCTAGCTAAACAAACTGTTCTGCAAATAAGGATTTGAAACCTGCTCTCCTGCCTCATCCCTGCTCTTCACCCCAAACAAAAATAAAACAAACCTATAGTGGCTGTGGAGGCTGCTGCAGGCACACACTGGTGTAAAATATAGAGAGAGTAAATATATTATTTCACTTGGCATGGTGCTGGCAAAGAACCCCCAGCTGGCACTATTCATGTAACATGATCCAAACTTTGCATGTACACACAGAATAAGAAGGATCAATTGGCAAACTCCGGTGCCGCCTGGCACAAGCATCTTCACGCTCTCTCTGGAACCAAAGAACTAAATAATTCTGTACTTTCCAGAAGAAATCCGGTTTTGCTTTTCTAGAGTTTCATTATTTTGCTCCTCCTCCTTGCCGCCACCTCTCCTGGCTCCTTCTTACTCCACTGTGTTATTTAGTCTCATCACTTTTGTTACAGTTCACCATGCAGCTCTGGGAAGGGGATGGGGCTGGGGTAGAGGCGGCAGCATTAGCATTGTTAGTCGAGTCCACGCCATTAGAGATGGCTACTGAATTAACCTCAGAGTTTATGGGTTTTGAAAGGTCAATGCCTTGGATGAGGCGGATCAGCTGTTTTACCTTCTCTAAAGAGCTGTGCATCTCCTTCTGTTTTGCCAGGATCGTATTCTTCATTTCCATACATTTCTGCAGAGAATCAGAACAACAAAAAGCTCAACCATTACATCCATATGGATAAATAACAGAATGGTAAGGAAGGAAATTTGGATGTTCATCAATTCAGGTGTAGGCCTCTAGCTGAAATGACTGCACCTGGAAGTTTACTTTCTGAGCATGGAAGAAGCCAAACCTCAAAGCTGCACAAACAAATTAATTAATATTTACAGAACAATAAATTAAATTGACAGCAGAGAACTACCACTTGCTCTGCCATCATTTATGTAATTTCCCTTAAAGATTAGAAAACCATCAGACATGCCTATTGTGTTTCTTCTGAAGGAAAATATAGGGTTAATGTCCAGCTGAAACTAGCAAGTTTTTATTATTTTCTATTAGTTTTGCATTTCTGAAATACTTCCAAACGCAGGCATCCTATATGTAGGAACTGACTTTGTTGAGAGCACATAGGTCCTGCTAATGGGATAGAACCCTTGCTTTCCTATGCAGTTTTTCCTATTTTAGCAGAAACATTCTGTCCCCAGGAATAAAAAGGATGGCTTGAAGAGAATGATGCCATGCCCCCTTCATTTAAAAATCTTATTTTGCCATTTTTTCATGCATGTTAAAAAATATCAAGAAGCTCTGATGATAGTCAAAGCAAATTAGCGGAACCACTTGAAACTGTCAAAAGAAAAAAGGAGAAGGTAGCTGATACCTTCTCTACATTGAATTTAATGATGTATAAACTATACAGTCCCCAACAGATGTCCTACAGGAAGATAGTATACTTTTTTTGGAGGGAAGACGGGGTGCAAGTTTTGAAGCCTTTTGTCTACATTGATCTTCAAACCCTCCTGTTCTCAGTCAGACTTTTAACACATATATGTGAGAACAACAGAAAATCCAACACCACAACCTACACTAATTGGCCCCACGTTGGAAGTTTGAGAGAAGGGGTAAATAAGAAGTATTCCATGGAGACTGAACTGCCCTCTTCACTCATAACTAGGTCAGAGCTGAATCACATCAGTGAGTGGGTGCTGCCCATGAAAATTGCTTAAGAGCATATGCACTGCTGCTTGCCAGGCCAGACCAGCCTTCTGGTGATAAAGAGAACACTTTAGTCTCCAAAGCTGTTCATCCAGAAACTTTTCGCCACTATGATATATACTTTCTTAAAAGGACAGCTGTAGCCTTTTACATATATTATTTCTATCTGAGGTATTCTACGACGTTCAACATTAGAGGTCTTTGTGCATCAGACACTTTTTTTTTTTTTTTTAAGGAAAAATATATCCCAAAGTGTGTGAGGCTGAGTATAGTGAAATATACTAAAACTGTATGATGCCATAAACGTTGGCTATAGAACAAAGGAGGTTACTCACCTTTGCAGTAACTGACGTTCTTCGAGATGAGTGTCCCCGAGGGTGCCCCACATCAGGTTGGTTTGCCGTCGCTGAGCCCATTCTCCAGTGTCTTCAGAACACGTGTTCCTGGGGCAGTGCATGCGCACGCCTCTTGCCACACGCTCCTACTGTGCAGGCATCACGCATGCATGAGCTCACTACTCCTTCCCTCAGTTCTTTCTTTATCCCAGAATGGTAAAGCCCACAAGGAGACCAGGATTCCGAAGTAGAGGGGACGAAGGGAGGGTAGTGGCGCACCCACGGGGACACATCTCAAAGACTATCAGTTATTGCAAAGGTGAGTAACTTCAACTTCTTCTTCTTCTTCTTCTTCTTCTTCGAGAGATGTCCCCGTGGGTGCTTCACATCGGGGGACTGTAAAGCTGTATCTCTCTAAGGAGGCAGGGACTTCAGATCTGACAAAAAAGCAGTAGCTAGTACTAACTTAGGGAACTTGAGATTACAGAAAGGTCCTTGAGAAAGTGCGTAGTGCTTTGCAAATGTATGTTTTGATGGCCATGTAGCGGCTGTGCAAATGTCTGCTATAGGGACCTTTCATAGAAATGCCACTGAGGTAGACATGGCGCTAGTTGAGTGTGCCCTTATACTGTCAGGAAGATTAGCACCAGTCCGAAATTCAGTGAGAAAGTCGCTGAGCTCAGATGGCCTGGCTTTTTTTATGATTCACTATGCAGAAAAATAGTCTAGGAGTAGATCTGAATGGTCTCGTGTGTTGTAAGTAAAAGGAAAGTGCTTTGTGTAAATCGAGAGTGTGCATGCTTGATCTGAATGAGTTAGCATGGGATTCTGGAAAAAAATGTAGGTAAGTGTAGTCTGATTCAATTGAATGGACAAATGTACCTTTGGTAAAAACTTAGGGTGAGTATGTAGGGTGACCTTGTCCCTGAAAAAGGTGGCATGTGTGTGTGTGTGGGGGGGGGGTCTCCCACAAATGCTGCAATTTCTCCTACATGTCTGGCCAATGGAATGGCTACAAGAAAAACAGTCTTCGTAGAAAGGTGCAATAGGGAGCAGGTGACCATTGGCTCAAATATGGTTCTAGTAAGGGTGTTTAAAACCAGGTGAAGATCACAAGGATGTGCCTGAGGGTAAAGTGCATGTAGGCCTTCGATGAACCTCTTAGTGAGAGGATGGGAAAATACTTAAGTATCATCTATCTTGAGATGCAAGGTGGCTATAGCAGCAAGGTGAACCTTGATGGAATTCAGCACAAGACCATCTTGTTTAAGGTGCAACAAATAATCCAAGATTAGAGGCAATAGAGATATGGATGGGTTAACATGATGACGTGCACACCATATAAAAAACCTTTTCCACTTCTGAAGGTATGTCTTGGGAGTACTTTGGGCTCTACTGTGCAAAAGTATGCATTGAACCTATTCAGAGCATTCTAACTCTTTTGTGGAAAATCAGTGAGGAGCCAGGCATTCAGGTTCAGCATGTGGAGACTGGGATGCACAGATCCAGGTTGTGAGGGAGGGGAATTGATGATATGTACGCCATTCTGAGTAGAAACGGGAAGCAGGGTTACTGTGGCCAGAAAGGTGCTATCATAATTAGTTGTGCCTTGTTCATCTGCACCTTGATCACGACCCTGTTGATAAGAGGTATGGGGGGGGGAGGCATACAGAAGGTGAAACAATCACTTCGTCAGGAAGGCGTCCCCGAAAGAACCCTTCCCTATGCTGGCTCTGGAGCAAAACTGCAGACACTTGTTGTTGTTCTGGGTGGCAAAGAGGTCTATGGTGGGGTTACTCCATTGTTAGAAGATCCGTGAAAGGATAGCTGGGTCAAGTTGCCACTTGTGTTTCGTGGGCAGTGTTCTGCTTAGAGCATCAGCCATAGTGTTGAGGTGACCAGGAAGGTGTACGGAAGTATATATACACCGTGTCTTAGGCACCAATTCCAAAGTGCAATTGCTTTGGTACACAGTTTGTGTGATCATGCTCTGCCCTGATGGTTTATATAAAACTTTGCCACAACATTATCTATGTATAATCTGACAGGACATTGTTGAGAAAGAAATACCTTGCAGCATATCTTACAACCTGCAATTTTAGCACATTGATGTGGAGGCCCCTATCATTGCTGGACCACAACCCATGTGGTGCCGCAAATGAGAGACATGAGGGACACATCCATCATGGAAACGGATGGTTCTGAGGTAATGAATGGGACACCAGAGCACAGATTTTTGTGTGTCACCAGACAAGAGACTTCTTCATCGAGGGTAGGATAATGAGGGACTTTGATAATGGGCTTGTAAAATGGATCTTTTAGGGAGGAACTAAATTTGACTTGTTTTCATTTATCTGTAGACGAAGATGTTGTCTTGTGATGGAGAAGGAAAGCCAAGCATCAGATTCAAAGCACGCTGCGAGGAGACAGTCATCAAGGTAAGGAAATATAATTACAGATCATTTCTTCAGGTACACTGTAACAACCGATAACACCTTTGAAAAAACGTTGGGAGCTGTTGAAAGGCCAAATGGTAGAACCTTGTTCTGATAGTGTTGGGTACCTAAAATGAATCGAAGAAGTCGTTGGTGAGCAAAATAAATGGAAATGTGGAAATATGCATATTGCAAGTAGAGGGATGAAAACCAGATGCCTCTTTCCAACACCAGTATGATAGTGGCAAGTGTCACCATCTTAAATGTTTGCTTCTTTATTAATTTATTGAGTGCTCATAGATCAAGGATGGGTTGCCATCCTCCCGACTTCTTCTCCGTGAGGAAGTAATGGGAATAAAAACCTTTCTGCCTGTACTGAGTGGGGACTAACTCAATTGCCCAAGTTGTAAAAGATGTGTAACCTCCTGTTGGAGAAGATCCTTGTGAGAGTGGTCCCTGAAGGGAGACTGGGTAGGGGGATGGGGAGAGGATGTTGACATGAAGGGAACAGTATATCTGAGCTTGATTATTTATAGAACCCATTTATCTGATGTTATTCTTCTCCGGATGTCAATATAGAGTAGAAGACAGTGCTTGAACAATTTAGATGGTGTAGGTGTTGGAATGGGCGAAAGGTTTTCACAGCCCTCGACACATGACTCAAATTTGCTTTTTAGAAGGTTGTGATTACTGAGAGTTGTTAAAGGGTTGGTGTCATCATTGACCCCTTGCCTCTGAAGTGGTTCTGTTTATGTTGTTCTTGTCTGTTATACCAATGAGTCTAGTTGTCTGGGTCTAGAGTATAGCCGATACCTGTATTGTTGTCTTCTCATATTTGCAGGATTGTGGATGCCAAGAGATCGAAGCACTGCTCTAAAATCAGTTCATTAGTGTTGGCTGTGAATAATTTCTGCCCATTGAATGGAGGTCTTCTGCAGTTGATTGGATCTCTCGGGGAAAAATGAAGATTTGAACCATGAGGTCCTCTTCATGACTACGGCTGTTGGGGTAGACCGAGCAGTTGTGTCAGCAGCATCTAGGGCGGCTTGGAGAGCTGTCCTGGATATTATGTGACCCTCAATAATGACAGCTTTGAATTGTTGCTTTTTTACCTCAGGGATATCTGCAATAAAATTGTTATTTTTGAATAATTTCTATGGTCATATTTACTGAGTAGCGCCTCATAATTTGTCACTCAAAATTGTAAGATGGAGGACATTTTCAACCGAAGTGATCCAGCCTTTTGCTGTGATGATCAGATGGGTTAGATCTAAAGTGCTGCTGCTTGGTCCTTTCCTGGGCTGCTTCCATTCCCAAAGAGTTAGGTGCAGGATCGGTAAAAAGAAATTCTGACTCTTTTGGAGGAATATAATATTTTTTGTCAGCTCATTTGCATGTTAGAGTGGCCATGGCAGTTATTTGCCAGATGGTCTTTGCTGGTTTCATAATGGCTGGATTAATCTTGAAAGTTGTAGGTGTTAATAAAATGTTAGTCAGTTTGTGTCAGTTGTCTGATACTTCCTTTATGGGGTATTGAGTTCAGCAGATACCCGTTTATAAAGATCTTGAAAATGTGAGAAATCTTCTGCTGTAGTGGGAGGAAGGAGGCATCATGGCTTCATCTGGGGAGGATGATTTTTTAGTATCAGGCAAAGTATCCAATGTGGGATCAGATTGCTCCCCTTGTATTGCACGTAGTCTTTGGGGAGATGGGGATTGTGGTGGAGGGGGACAGCTGAGGTACAGAAGGTAATTTGCGAGATTGATGGTATTTCTGGCGAGGGTGTCTGGAGTATGGGAGTAGTAATAGAGAGGTAGCCGTGTTAGTCTAATCATGCAAAAACAAAAGGAAAAACTAGGTAGCACTTTAAAAGACTAACAAGATGGTTTAATAGGTGATGAGCTTTCGTGGGCCAGACCCACTTCCTCAGATCATATTCTGGAAGAGAATTGGCATGACCATATATGCCAAAGGAATACAATGAAAAAAGTGAACACATTATTAAACTGACAAATCAGATTTAGTACAGAAGGTGGGGTGAAGGAGAGGGAGGGAATAGCTATTTATGAGTCAATGAATGGCTAATCAAGGGTGATAAGTGGGGAAGCTATCTTTGTAATGGTTAAGGTAATTAGCATCTTTGTTAAGACCCATTCGTAAAGTGTTAAATTTAAGCATGAAAGAAAGTTTTGAAGTTTCCCTCTGTAATCTGGTGTTAAAGTCTCTTTGAAGTAAAATGCATGTAGTAAGGTTGTTAAGATTATGTCCAGGTAGGTTGAAATGAAAAGCAACTGGTTTTCCCTTGTGAAGATGTCTGATACCTTATTTGTGGGCATTAATTCTTTGGTGAAGTGTCTGAGAAGTCTGTCCAATATACATAGCAGAAGGACACTGTTGGCCCATGATGGCATAAATTATATTTCTGGATGAACAGGAATATGTGTTCTTGATCATATAACTGACATAGTTAGGTCCAGTGATGGTGTCACCACAGTAAATATGTGGACAAAGTTGGCAATGGGGTTTGTTGCAAGGGAAAGTTCCAGGGTTGGTATTAGTGTGGTATGTCCTGTGGTTGTTGGTAAGAATCCTCCTGAGGTTAGGTGATTGTCTACAGGAGAGTATGGGTCTGTCCCCCAGAGCCTCTCGGAATGTAGTATCCTGTTCCAACATAGGTTGTAGGTTATTGATAAAGCGTTGGAGGGGTTTAAGTTGGGGACTATAGGTGATGACAAGTGGTGTTCTATTGTTGGTTTTCTTGGGTCTGTCTTGAAGTAGACGGTTTCTGGGTATTCGTCTGGCTCTTTCAATTTGTTTTTTTTATTTCCCCTGGTGGGTAATTGAAATTTACAAATGCTTGGTAGAGATCTTGAAGTTTCTGGTCTTTCAGTGGGATTAGAGCAGATGCGGTTGTACCTAAGGGCTTGACTACAGACGATGGATCGTATGGTGTGTCCTGGATGGAAGCTGGAGGCATGTAAGTAAGTGTAGCAGTCAATGGGTTTTCTGTAGAGAGTGGTATTTAATTTTCCATTAGTGATTTGTACTGTGATGTCCAGGAAATGGATCTCTCATGTTGAATGGTCCAGGCTGAGATTGATGGTGGGGTGTAGGTTGTTAAAAGTCTCTGTGGAATGCGTCCAGTGTTTCTTGGCCATGGGTCCAGATCATAAAGATGTCATCGATGTAGTGTAAGTAAAGGAGGGATAAAAGGGGATGGGATCTGAGGCAACGTTCTAAGTCAACCATAAAGATGTTAGCGTACTGTGGGGCTACGCGGGTACCCATGGCTGTGCCGCTGATCTGGAGGTATAAGTTGTCCCCAAATTGGAAATAATTGTGGGTGAGAACAAAGTTACATAGGTCTGCTACCAGATTGCTACATAGGTGCTGGCAAGGTAATATAAGTGCCAGCAGATGCCATGACACTGGAGGCAGGCAACTTGAAGACTGAAGTCTCTGGGCAGGATTTGACATGACCCACTTTTGTGGCAGCGCCGGATAAGCCCAGAGTGTCATAAGCAGGGCTCGACAAATCCGCTTATCCACTCGCCCATGGCGAGTAGATGTCAGCCAGTTTCCCCATTCACCGGCAGTTCGCGTATGCGCAGTGCAGGTCTTGTGCATGCACAGAGGGGCTGGTGGTTTTTGCTGTTATCGTTAAGCCCTGGTCATAAGTACTTAATCACAGTGCCAGAGAGGTTCTTAGCACCGGACAAAAGCATTTAGGAGCCGGA